AAGGACAACGGCGGCTAACTCAACAGCTGTCAGTCATTTCCTTCCTCTTAGTCTAAGCTCTTTACAGTGTATATTCTTTCCTTCAAAATGGGATTTATCACAAAATTACATGAAATCCCGTATTTTTTTGATGGGGATGGAGGTTCGGATGATGATAGTTTATGTAATGGCCTGGCCTGGTTGAATATATTATTTCAAAACTTTAGGAAGTTAGGCTCTGTGTGCTCTACTTCATTCATGTGAAGATAGATGCAAACTTGTGTATTTTTGGTTTTCTTGCTCAAATTCCTGTCATTTATTGGCAGCTGCTTCCTCTTTATTTGTTTAATATAATTCTCAATTGCGTGGCTATATACAGGCCCAGGAAAAATGATGTTGTTTATAAGTGGGAAAATTGCGCGCACGCTCAGACACATAAGGGAACGACTTTGGTCACTGGTACGCCAAAGAACTAGAAACGATATCGGAATTGATGTGGGTATGTGCCAAATCCCAGGAAGATACATATTCCGCCTCAATCACTAACTCCAACATTTAGTCTGACCTTATCTCTATCAATAAGTTAAAACCCAATTCTAAACTGAACCCTAATTCTAACCTCAATCCTTACCTCCCCAGAACTTTTTGCAACGCCCTCCAGAATGGGGATGTGAATTTTTATCCCCCTATCTTACCGGGGCAACTATCATACATCCTTAGTCAACTTTACGCACAGCTCACAGATTATAATCATTGCGTCCATGGGTTCAATTGCAATTTTCTGCTGAGTCTTCCACCCCCACAGGTGACTGGTTGGTTCCTGGAGGACTGACTCGACATCCTTGTAACTTACGTCCATAAAATGCGTCAGCTCGCAGCCTACGGTGTCGATCAGGCCACGGCAGTCCAACACCGCGCCTCCTTGTTGAGTTGCGTAAACATCGCCTACTCAACGTACACCTATGGACGCATTAGAGTGAAACAGACATACGCTGTTGCGGAATGCGAAATGAGACAGTTCCTTTTGGCTTCCCATGACAAAAAGACTGGCATCGTCCTTAACATGCTTGTAAATGTAAGTAAACAGGCTCCCGAGTTCGCGTCGGTCTCCCTCTTGCTGAAACCAAAGTACACTCATCACCTGCAGCTATCTATCTTTCTAAGGACGGCAGATTGTTGCTGCTTTACAGGTTATGCTCAGTGTGCAGCCCGCTCCTTAAAGAATAATATAATGTTTGCAACGCCGTTTGTCGTTATGGACTGGTTGGTTCCTGGAGGACTGACTCGACATCCTTGTGACTTACGTCATGGGGCGAGATATTGCAGTTAATTTTGGCTTCTTTATGCACATAGACTGACAACTTTGCAAACATTCTTGGGGATCTTAGCACACAGGCTCCTGATCTCGCTTCCGTGTCACCTCCATCCCGCAGTCTGATGTCTCGGACGAGGCGTTTAACACCGGAGATGCACAAATTGCTAGGGATGTGTATGTCATTCGGTAGAAATCATTTACGGAATTTATTCACTTCTGGAGGTCGCCAGTCCAAAAAAACAAATTAGCGCCTAGTTAATATATAGTAGCAATCTTGTAGCTGGTCCTTCGACTAGAACCACAAACATGTATATCCCTCCCACTGAGATACTCGAGTTCAGACATTAATCAAGAATATGCCTAGGTCGGAAGAACAAAGCCAATAAGGTAGGCGCTTCCATCCGCCAGAGTTGACTGCAATCGCTGGAGG